TGAATTAGTGGGATTTCGTAATTAAATTTGGACTCGATGATTCCACTTAATAAATATCCAAACCAGTCATGTTCTAGCTTAGAGGGTTCATTTGCATCTATTTGTAAGGTATACATAAAAGGCCTATTTATACATATTTTAGTAACCCAATGTTTTATAAAATGAAGTGGTACTTCCAAAGAAATGCATGAGAGTACGTATTAAACGTATAAAAGTATATTTATAGCACAATAGTATTTATCGATGACTTTTGCCAGCGATTGAAGCACTATTCAGTACGTTAATGGTGATATTATTTTGATAATTTGTTTTGAATTTCTGACACATCGATTTTCGTCTTTTTATTAAGGTTGGCAAACACTTTGCTTAGTATCTGATCTTTGCGTTTTATAAAGTTAAAGGTTGAACAATGATTTTTGCATTTTTGAGTTGATATAGTTTTTGAATCAACTTGTAATCGAATTGATTATTTCGATTTTTAATTTTCCCTTACCAGCACAAACAAAAATGGAGAAAAATACATAATTATCATAATTTTAAGATGTACTTTCGAATTTAAGAAACTTGTAGAATTCACATTTGTGACCACTTCATAAAATTTTGTGACCTGTTTATTAATTAAATAGGTTGAGATGACAATAACAAAAAATTTATGGTAAAGATCATGTACTAATCATAGATCACACAATATCACAACGACAAAGATACAAATAGAAGATCACAATTACAAACTTAGCCCTAAATTACACATTTTAATAGATCATAACTTATAAACTCATCACAAACTATCAATTAACTAGTTACAATTATACATTTAACTGATCACGAATTACTCTTCATCTCTTTCATGTCACCCCTTCCCACTCGACCACCATCAACATAAACCAAATTGTTGTCGACACTCAAATCTACAACCTACCATCGTTACTTTCAATCAACTCTATAACCACCACCACCTCATCAAATCCACATCCACCATACCACCACCTCCAACCCACCACCACCTACTATATCACAAAATATATCCAAACGAGCATAGAGGTAGACGTAGTGGCACAATCCCCAAAACGTTGATTGAAACGTTGAACCATGTTCGATTGCAGATCCAACACAAGTTTATCTTTACGTTTAAAAGTGATGTATTCAATTGAGATTTTTAATAACTTTTTGGAATTTAAAAAAATTTAGGAGTATTCAATTGAAACATTTTTTAGACTCTTTAAAAGTCACGTTGTATTCAATTGATACTTTTATAGACTTTTATAAAGTCTTTAAAAGTCACGGTATATTCAATTGAGATTTTTTAAGATTCTCTAAAAGTCACAGTGTATTTAATTGATGCTTTTATAAACTTTTAAAAAGTCTCTAAAAGTCATAGTGTATTCAATTGAGAAGTCTCTATAAATTTTGGGGTATTCAAATTTTAATGGCTTCTAGAGACTTTTATAAAAGTCTTTAGAGTACTAACTTTTAAGCAGAAAGCACTCATATAAAATTTTAAAATTTCTTTCTCATTAATCACAAGATTTTAGGAGACTTTCACAATTTTTTTCAATCTTTCTTTCCTTTAGCATTCTATGGACACGTATGATTAAAATTTATTTTTTCTATTGATTATACTTATTTTCATTTATCTTTCTCTCTCTAATTATTTATCTCTATTTTCTATGAAAAAATTAAATTGAATTCTTGTAATTTCTTTCATTTATTCTTTTATGAGAAATATTTATTTTTTATTAAATTATAAAATTTTATATGAAAAAATTATAACTAAATTTAAATATATTGATTTTTTTTTATTTTTAAAAGAATACTGTACTAATAATATTGAATCATATATATGTATGATTATTATTATTATTTATTTAATTAAGATCTTAAATTTTTATTTTTCAAATATTTTTATTATATAGGAAGAAGAAGGGGAAGGATGGGAAATTGTGGGAACTAATACCTCATATGTGAGAATTTCACAAAATTTTACTAAATCCACGTGAATTCTATTTCAAATGAAAATTTTCAAAAGTCTTTTGAATTCTACAAAAGTTTATAAAAAATTTAAAATAAAAATTCATAGAAGTCTACGAAAGACTTCCACTAATTCTATACAAATCTATAAAGATCCATGAAATCCATAAAAGTCATCACTTAAAAAAAGTCTATCAAAATCTTCAAAAGTCTCAATTGAATACACCTCCCTAAATAGATAGATACGCATGTGGTAGTGGTGATAATGGTAGCCGGAGTTTGGATCTACATGTAAGTAGATAAATCTACATGTGATGATGGCGGTGTCCAATTGCGATCCAACATTAATGCGATCCAACACTGGTTTGATGTGGTGGTGGAGGTGGGGATCGACATTCATGGGATATGGGGATGACAGTGCTAAAGAAGAAATTTAGGGTGATGATAAAGATCCAATATTTATTCTCGATGGCAATGTTGGAGAGGAAGGTATTGGTGGCAGCTGGCAGGCATAATGTGTGGGAGTCATAGATTTACCGTGACCATTTTTAGTGTTGAAAATACGTTAGGGTTAGAGTAAAGTGTCGTATGGAATGGGGTTGGGTGGGTGAAGTACACCTAATGTTTGAAAGAATAATTTTATCATCTGATTATTGAAATTAAAAATTAAAAAACAGGAGTGGGTGTAATTTACTCAACAAAAAAGCACCAAAAACCAAATTCTTCGGTTGTTTTATTTTGCGTTATTCTATCTAAAGCTCAAGTTCAATTCATTATTTCTAAAAGAACTAAATATAACACAAGATGGAAATAGAAGCACATAATGGGCAAACCTTTGTACAAGAATGCTTTTCAAGAACAAAAAAGGCTCATTTTCAAATAAATGTTTTTGTATCAAACATTATAATGTTAGTTTTGTTAACTTCAATTTTTGCATATACACATAGCCAATAGAATCTTGATCGCTCTTCTCCGATAACGTTGCTTAATTAAATGAACGCAATCTAATTGAAGCTACGTCATTATATGTGGGACCTCATTGTTATGTACATGTTATATAATTTATAAATATAATAATAACCCAAATCTGAGTTACGTATTCATATGCGAGTTAGACTTTGAAACATAAATTGTCAACTTAGACTATGATTTATCGAGATTTCGACAAAATCTCTTTTATATTATAGACTAAACCAACCTAAAATACAATACAATGTATCCACTAGATATATACAAAATGAATTGAGGTCCATTTGTCCTTCCAAATAAAGTAAAATGATGATCTAATCAAACTTCCTTCACAATTTTGCTAGTGTGAAGTAGGTAACATAATGTCGATAATAAGATGATAATGTAGATAGCATGGCATGTGTACCGTCAATAGTAAAAATATTGTTAAGACATGCTTGCAACGATGTTGCACGTGCACTTAGCAACAATAATATAATACATATACTAGCAATAATAATGAAATGATACTTAGATACTAGTATCACTATAGTCCTCCAAGTTCAAGTATAGATATTCATATAATGCATTAACTTTTTGATAGAGGTGAGACTCTGAATATAAGTAGTTGTGATGAAGCTGATGTAAAGGCATGTCCCAGTCACCTTGCTTCCACGTATACGTCACCTGCGCATACGACATGCTTGCAATGATGTAGCGTATGCACTTAGCAGCAATAATATAATACATACGATAGCAATAATAATGAAATGATACCTAGATACCAGTATCACTATAGTCTTCCAAGTTCAAGTATGGATATTCATATAATGCACAACTTTTTGATAGAAGTGAGACTCTGAATATAAACCGTTGTGATGAAACTGATGCAAAGGCATGTCCCAGTCACCTCCCTGCCATTATGTGTCACCTACATCGTAAAGCACACCATTAGAAGGAAAATGTACGGCAATCGTTTGCACTTCGATGGTCAGATCAATTGCCAAACGAAAGATAAGGAGTGCAAGAGATGGGAGATAGGGCTTGACGGGTTTAGAATTCCATACCTTGTGTGTAAATGAACTCAAATACACACACACACATAGAGAGAGAGCGAGAGGGAGAGAGAGAGAGATGAAAATGGACCAAGTGGGGGCTAATGTATTGAGCTCCAAGTTTATGATGAGGTTGTTTGATTAAACCCCTGTTTGAGGGGCATTATTTAGCTCATTAAAATGAAAATTCTAGATGTTATTGGAACAATCAGGCCCCACACAAGAGATGAGCAGTCAAAAAAGTCAACTGGATGTGATGATTAACGGTAAAAATTTCCATTTTTTGGCCAAATAATGTGCCTCAAACAGGGGCTAAATAGGCCTAATCTAATTGAATAATTGATGTCAAGTCAGCATATGGGGCTCCTCCGTCATTTGTGTAATTTATAAATACAACAAGTTTATTGTGCATTTCTAGGTCCAATGGAATTCATCGGTGTAGGATGAAGCCCTCACAAATATAGATTTTTTTTTTCTTTTGGCAATATTATGAAGTTTGGAGATGATATCAGTTTGTATTTTAACTACAAATAACATTAAAACTCAACCGATCAATATCCAAAAATAAACTTCACCTAGAAATCATATGAAGAAATCTAAGCTCAAGAATTTAAGAACCCATTGACTGTGTACTATCTATATATGTTTTCAAAGAAAAATGCATAACTTTATTTGATATTAATAAAGAGTATTTCACAATGATTGGAAAAGAAATGAGTGTATGAGACAGGGGGGACTTACTTGAGGCCTAGCAGGGTTGACCGCTCCACTCGATTTTCAGATTTTTTCAAATTTTTTTAGGGATTCAAATTTTTTTCTAGGTTTTTTGGTTTTATCCCTACTAGACTTTCGTCTTGGATCCGCCTCTAGTATGAGAGATGAGGGGAAGAGAATGGACCAACGCGACAAAAAACCCTTTTCAAAATACTTGATAGCTAACCAAATAGCACGAAAAATCAATCGATTTGTTCGACTTCGTAGCCCAAACGCTCACCCCTAGCTAATTTCCTCAAAATTAAATTTGATCTTCCACAAAATGAACTTAGGCCTACCAAAGCTCTTGGATCATGACCCAGAATCGGGTCCACCGAGTCCATTCCTTACCCGGGTTTGGAGCTGTCCGAGTTTCCCCCATTTCCATCATCCACCGCATCCCCAATTCTGCAGGACTGAAAACCTAAATTTCTCTCTCGCCCCCTCATTCTCTCCCTAAGCAATTATTCATCAACACCGCGTATCACACAATTGGGTTTCTCTTTTGCTGGTATTCCCGTGATTCTTATTTGATTTTTGTACACAAGTGCGCTTTTACTTTTAATTCTAGGGTTTGGAGAACCTTCAGGCGCGAATCTTCAACTTAAATTAAAATAATCATTCGGTTTTTTATAACAACAAAATACACATCCAATACTCCTATTGCACTTATTCTGTTTGCCTATGAATTGCTGAATATTGCCAACTATATTCAATTTTTCTTTTATTAATTTGTTGAGGCTTTAATATTCAAATGCTATATTGTAGACTGAGGACTAACGATTGCAAACTGGGAAAGAGTAGTTACTGAATTGGGGCATGAGCTGATGCTATGAGTAGGCTATCATTTAGGCCTCGACCTCTTGACATCCACAAGAAGCTGCCCATTGTAAAATCTGTTAAGGAATTCGAGGATGATGAGGTCCCGACTTCTACTCGTAACTCTCAGATGCTCCGAATTGCCTCAGAGGCCGATAATGAGGTGAGGTATTTACTCAGAGGACAATACAAAATTTACTTCAAATTGATTATATCGATGTTTCTTTCCTTTCTAATTATACACATGGTATTTGAAGTATAACATTTATTTGCTTCGTATATACATATTTTAAAAAGAGCAATTTCTTGCCCCATTGCCATTTCAAAAATGAATACAGTTATATAATTACTATAATGCATTTGGATGCCTTTCAAGGCAAGCTTTTTGCATTAAATCCAATTGTCGAATGATCCTTCAGTTCGACAACTATCACAGTAACATATTATAATTTACCGCTAATGACTAGAAACAATATATACTAAGCCGTCCCAACACCAGGAAGTTACTATAATTTCCTCTTAACTTATTTAGGTAGGCCCTGAATAAATACACATGGGGGAACTCGAATGGATTTGCATGTTACTGAATCAAAGGGTCCAATCCTAGTCTTGGAGGTTTTAGATTGATTCCTCTTCCCACCTTTGTCCCAATTTATTGAGGTTAGCCGCTCTATTCACCCTGTCCACTAGAAAATGAAGCTTTCAGGCCACTCGATGCAGAATGGTGCATGTTGTTGTTCATAGAAATTCTGAGTGGGAAAAAGGCTGTCTTTTCTGATCTTTTCTGAATTTTGCTTTTATTGTTGGATTTTTGTGTAATATGAAGATTTTAATTATTTTTTGGTTATATCCTGTTGTATTGCTATATGGTGGAAATAAATTTTTACAAATTTCTTCAAGTTAATTTATTATAATGCAGTGAAATATCCGAATTACTTCATAATGTATTTGAAAGAAAAGCCAGAAAAAAGAAGGCAGCCTCAACCTACTTGCTGATATTCATGCAACTTGCGTCCAAATGCAGAGTTCGTAATTTTAAATGATTGATACTTAGAGTCCATAACAAGAAGGATGTGTGAATAGTATAATTTAGGTAAATATGCTAGTAAAATAAAATGAACTATAGGTATTTTATAATTGTGTACGGAGCTGATTTTAAAATTTTGATCTTCCTGTATCTTTTTATCCTTATTAGAACTAAAAGAAATATCGTTTAGATGTGGCTCGAGGGGTTCTTTATCTGTAAAATTATTGTCGCTGTTGTAATAACATAGTTTTGTTTTATATTCTGAAGCCTTTTTTATCAGGCCACTTATCATGTTCTCTTGCTGCAAAAGTTTTCATGCATAGTGCTTCCACAAGACCAGAAAATATCTATGTGAAACAAATAGTATTTACTTACTAGTCATGTTATAAAACTTGTACATCCCATTTAAATATGTAGTACAACTGGGCAGATGAATTTACTCAGTCTTGAATTATGATATACGTAGATTAACTAATGCCATGATCAAATTTTCCTAGGTACAACAAACTCCTAGCAAAAGAATTGCTTCAGAAATACCCACTCCTGAGTTCGTGGTAGTGGATACATATGAAAGAGACTATTCTCGTACTTTCAGTCAACCAACATCATATCTTCGTGCAAGGGGAGGTGAGACATTTAAGTGGTCTACATTTTTTATCCACACATTTCGTCGGACCACAACTACTACCCACCTATTATCCACATACTATGTAGGACTCAACTGTTTATAATCTATGAAAAGCTCTACCAAAAACATACTCAAAATAGGCTGCTGATTAATTGTTAAACATTTGTTGCAATCATGTATTTAAATTTTGTCGTGTTATTGACAGCCCGGGCTGAGATTGGAGAATTTGTTGAGTACGATCTTGACAATGAGGATGAAGATTGGCTTCGAGAGTTCAATAAGGAAGGAAAAACTCTTGCTTCTGAGAAGTAATATTCTCTCTATCTTGTATAAATCCTCGCGTATTAGAATTGTCTTTGATATTCTTCTTTTATCCTTTTACTTCATCCAATGCTGACCCACAAATTGTTAAATCCTTTTTTTTTTTTTTTTTTATCAATATCAATTATGCAAGTCGTTGTCTGGAAATCAGTTTATGGTTCTAATTTTAGAACTGAAGGTACATCAAATTGTTACTTAATTGTTTCTCTTCTGACATGGAAGTGATAAAATCTAGTATCTAACTTAAAAGCGAGCAAGTTTTTCTGAGATGCTTGACATCCATATCAATAAAAAGTTTGCTGCTATAGTTTCAGAAGCGTTGAACTGCTTGCAAGATGGGGTTTTTGAATTTTATTAAGCTATGTTAGTCCCTCTTGGAAAGTCTTAAGACTTTGCTTCAGTTCCTAATGGAACCTTATGAAACTCTAAAAGTTGATTCTATAAAGTCTACCCAACTACTGTATATTAGGGTGCCTTTTGTACAATCTCTATCCTGGATTATTTGATTATTGCTGATATTGCCCACCCACAAACTAGGGGGTGGGAAAGGATTGAAGAGGAGGCGCTTTATGAAATCTGGATTTCTTCATAAATTTTTTATTCCATTGCTTGTACTCATATTGTTTGATTGTGGATGCAGGCTTGAGACAATTCTGTTTAAATTGGAGGTATTAGATCACAAGGCTCGGGAAAGGGCTGGATTTGTTGCTCCAACACTTGGCTCATCGATTCCTGTGATTTTAACCTTCGATGCTGCTGTTGAGGTGAAAATATTACTCTTCTGATAGCAGTTTACAAAATTGTACAATGTTGTGACTAAGTATATGCTTCTAGTTGTGTGCTGTTCTACTTTTCTTTTGCTATGAAGTTTCATTATTTATGAAGTGATTTTAGTGATTAAGTTACTTGATTTTGCTGGCATTTTTGTAATCAAACATTAAACACTTTTTAGTTAATTTTGGACTCGCTATTTACAATAGCTTGAAAGAACCACTTCAAACTATTGAGTTCCTCTTTTCTTGTTTCAAGATGTTTTTGAATATATCATGTATACAATTAGATGGATCAAATTGTATAGATGTAAATTGATGTCTTTTATAGATGCTGCTGAATAGTAGTTTAAAATACTTTACTGCATGGGTAAGTAAGTAAATAGTATCCTGGTGAAAAGTTGGGTTCATTTCCAAGTGACCCGGAAAATGACGCCTTGGGCTTTTTTCCCGCAATGAACATTGGAAGATTCAAGACATTGTTGGAGACAGTATATTATGACCATAATCTCTTCCAGTGGGTTTGTTAATTCATTTCCTTCTTTTACCTTCATCTTCCCCTGAGAATACGAAGATTGGTGAAAATTTGGTGAATTACAATTTTAAGACAATGGGTGAGGAAATTTAATGGTATGACTTGTCAGTTTCCTTAACCAGTGCAAGGAGATGGGGTTTGATTGCACGAGTAGTCAAGTATCATCTGCCATCGCTGTGAAAGTTACTTCGACTTTTCCTTTCCTAAATTTTATTTATTTTGGATGTGGAAAAATTGTTTCACCTCATGGATCCATGGTTACAACATACAATAGGCCTGCTAAATTTTTTGAGCCAGTAGTCAGGGTCCTGGAATTTTATAATAGCACACATGCTTTTGCCTTCTTTTCGTGGTAACAAGTCAGTCGAAGGAGTCAACTAATAAATAAACCTGAAGAATAATTCAAGAATTGCTTCAAAACTTATGTACCATGATGTGCACCTCAATTTTATGACCTTGGATTTAGAAATTTCTGCCATCATCCGGGGTATTGTTAAATTCTAGTATTAAAGATGCCACATTCACTAAGGGGGGTGTCCTCAATCTAGAGTTTGATGGATTTTAAAACTCCATATAAATTGAAGTATCTTCAATTCAGATTTAAATATAATTCATTAAAATATAGGTGTCCCCAATCTAGATTTTTAAAAATATTTATAAATTTAAGTGTCCTCAACATAGATTTTAATAGGTAGTTTTGAAATTTAGATGTCCTCAATAACTAGTTGATTTTAAAAGATTTCATTAAGTGGATAGATTTTGAAGGATTTCAAGGTAAAAATATAAGTACAAAGAATCAGTAACAATTTTAACCCAAACCTAAAAATTTCACAACATTTCTCACTTCTCTCCATATTTGCTTCCCTCTCTCTCTCTCTCTCTCTCTCCCCCCCCACATCTTCAACAAGATTTTCTTCTTCTTTCTATCTCACATTTCTCTAATGTGAAAAGATCGTGTAGGAGAAATTTTCAATTTATGATAATTTATGAAAGATTACTATTTTTTGTTGAATATTGGGTGTGATTTTTTATTGAACTTATTTTTTCTTATTAAAGCTATATATTGTTTACTATTTTGTAGATGTGCTGAAAATTATCATGGTAATTTACGATTTCTAGTATGCATACTGGAACAACTTTGTCTTTCAAGTTCTGTACCATATTCCTTTTTCTTGGGAAGAGCTACGTGTTTTCTATATATACCTGCAAATCCTAGCCAAGACATGTGAGGATGGTATCCCACAATTTTTTCTTTTGTGTCTACATGGTTAATGAGAATTCTGGGGGTATGGAATTAATTGCCTTGTGGTCATGTATGTGTACATCTTTGTGTTTGTATCTCACAAGGTTGTGGCATTTTGAACTAATTCATATTGATTACGACTTTGATTATTTAACACTACATATTTTTGTCCTCTCCCACTCTCGCATTTTGTTGAATATTGGGTGTATTTTTTATTGAAGCTCTGTTATAATATTCAATGTTTAACAAACAATTGAACAAGGACTCGATCATTTTCTGTGATTTATTAACGTGCATATGTGTAAGAATGAGTTGTCAAAGAAGAAGTAAAAATTTGTGGCTTATGTTAAGCATATTTATAAATTTTACCCAGAATCTATAAAATCCATTGAAATCTATAAAATCCATGAAAATATTTAAAATCTACAAAATAGAAATCCATTCAAATCTTATGAAATCTATTAAATTCTATAAAATTTCACACAATCCATGAGAATTTATAAATGTTAAGAAATCTATTAAATTCTGAAATGGGGACACCCCCGTAAGTAAAAATATCAGTAGAATTTAATATGCTATTTGTCAAAAAGTTAGATTTAGGAGCTGTGTAAAAGGCTGCCTCCACAACGTGCTAAAAGTTCAAGCTTAATGTTTGCATCACATGTTCAAAAACTTATCATGTAATGTGAAGACCAGCTATTGATAAGTGCAGAGTAAAGTGAAGATTACTTAGGAGCTGGTCCCCACTCATTCAAATTCTACACCTGTAGAATTATCACACTTTAAGGGTGTCACTGGAGACTAGTCACTTGTTTGACAAAGGTTCTCAAATGGAGGCTTACTTTGGTGATTGCTTTGACCTGCTTTTGTTTGACTATTACTTACTAAGAAGCACGGATATTTGTAAACTCATTACGTACCTGTATTCGATACAAATCCAAGCTCTGATAATATCCTATATCCTTTGATACGTACCGGATACATTTTCTTAATTTTATATATATATATAACTTTCGGTAAGTATCGGACATACTTTTAATTATTTATTATTTTCATTATGTGTCTGATATATATATTTAATTATTTTAATAAGTTATTGAATATTGATAATATTTATTGAAAATACACCATTAGGGTTTTAGATTAATTAATCTATATTATTTAATCTTTCAATGCATATTGAAGAAAATGAAATTTGGACAATTAATAATTACGATAAAATGCTTTAATATTATATATATATATATATAAATTTTATCACACATCTCTGCGTAACCTAATTTTTTAAAATAGTCATGTCGGCATACCCGTATCGTATTTGAATTACGTATCTGTATCGATGCTTCTTAGATTACTATTCAGAGTTTGGACCATGAATCATGATTTCACTTATATTGGATCTGCATTGTGATTATGAGTACTTTTCTTTCTTTTTGTTCCCTTTAGATTTTTGAGTCTTCTCAAGTAATTAATTTTGAGTAATGCTATAATATTTTATCATTCACATGTTAGGCCTTGCAAGCTCTTTCCATCAAATATGGGGTTTTCCAATCTATCTATAGTTACTGGAAGGAAAAGGTATGTGTCAGCCACCATTTGATATTCTTGTCTTGGATGTTTTCGTATGAATTAATTTTACCAGAACTGTTTGCACAAGATATGCAGTGTTTTTATATGCTTTTGGTAAATTAAGCTCTTATCTCTGGTCTTCTTTTTCGTGGCGAGTACTTGGTTGTGATCTGAGAACATGCTTTTGTGCTGAAAAATGAAACAGAAACTTTATTGTGGAGTTAGGTTGGTTGATGTTAATGAACAGGCATGTATGATAGGAATTATTGCTGTGATGGGCACAATGACCATGCTATATTGCTATGAAACACATTCTCTTTAGCTTTTGTAGAAACTTGAACTTTCATAATTCCAAATCCTTAGCCTTATTAAGGGATATGTATGCATTAAATACAAGTAAAATGACTCCAAATGATTTGGCTCCGGGGGAAGTTAGGGTAATAATTTGAAAATTATTTGTTTATTAATTCTATAGTAATGTTCAGACATTAACTAGATTTTACTCTTTAAAATGGAAAATACTCTTCCTATCTATGTTGGTTTGCTCGCGTTCCACATCTGGAGGTTTCATGTAACCATCAAAAATTGGACAGACATTTATATCAAGTTCCTGAATTACCATTCAAAGTTAGTGGCAGAAAAGAAAGATGGCTGCACCGCTGGGTGTTCAAACACTGTGGGAAACATGGCCTAAAAGGGGAGAGTAGGTATTGGATATAAAATAATGGTGATTGGGTGTAAATGATGTTAGCAAAATTCGGTGCCAAGAGGTAAAAAGTGTTACTTATAAGAGATCTAAAGTAGTGATTGTGAAGTGTCAATGACCTTTTAGAACTTTGTGCAGAGAGGTGATGTGACAAACAAGATGAGGTGTGGGGTGTATGTTCTACTTTCACTTATAATGTCTTTTTTCTAGTTTGCAGCTTGTCATGCTTGTCACATTCAGCATGAGTCAAGTATTTTTTACAAGTAGAGGAAAAAGTGTACATATGGTGTTTTGTTAGTATAGTTGCACATTGGCTTCATGGTTTACAACTAACTTTAGCTTATCATTAAGATGGGTTTTTTTGAGATGAATCCTCATGTTTTTTGTCTTTTGTTTTTCTTTTTTTTTTCCAACCAGCGGGAACGGTGGCAAAAACCAATCCTTCGGCGTTTGCAGGTAGTTTTGACACTTGATTTGTTGGTCTCACTATCTTGAATTCTGGGCCAGATACATATGACTATAGGGAATTTTATGCTCAAGGGAATCACAGCTTTCCTGATTAATAAGCAGGACTAGATTCCTGCTTCCATCCCCTGCATGTATGATTCATGAACAATAAAATACTGTGAATTGACTTTCATTTTCCGAACCTTTATCTTCTTTTCTGATAGAATTGCTAGATTTAAGTTCGATGAACTATTGACATTCATTCTCCAAAGCTTTCTCTCTTCATTTCTGATCGATTTCCTACAGATGTAAGTTTGAAGAATTATTGGCATTTTGTCCTTTCTTTTCTCAACAGTTTAGTTTTTACTGATGGAACTTATTGTCTCAAGTTACAATATCATGTTCTGTAATAACTATTCTTTTTGTGCAGCCAGCTTCTTAGTATTTGGGTTAGGATCAATTTGACTTTACATTTTGATCGATAACTAGAGTTTTCTGGAATTGCACACTTGCATTTGCTAATATCTATTTTGCTATTTCCTTTACAGCCTCCCCCACCGGTCAATGATACCAATCCGTACAATGTATTCAGGCCAAGGGAGAAAGCTCATAAGCTTCACACTAGGAGAGTACGTCGTTACTTGATTGTTCGCTATTTCATGTATATATTTTAAGAGGCACAATTATTTGTTACACATTGAGGAATTTAAATGTCTATTAATCGGTCTTTCTACATACTTGTTTTACAAATAGATGCAAAGGAGGGAAAACAATGTGCAGTCCTTTGAAAAGCTTCGTCAGGTGATCATTATTTTTTTTCCAGCCCTTGAATTTTTTTATACTTTGTTTTTATGTGCTTGATGTTGTGTAGTGGACTTCGTATTAAGTGCTTAATTGATTTTGAAGCATATTATCAATACTTATAATTCTTTTAGCTTGACTTTTACTGGTTTAATTTGGCACAAGCGATGTCAAGTCCTAATTGTAGTTTTTGAACATATCATCAGTTGATATAAAACTTGTGTAACGTCATGCCTCATGCTCAGACTGGTCATCTTATATTGATTGATGTTTGCGTATACAGTTCTGTTCAAGAAATGGAAGTTTTGCTGTATCATATTACGGACTTATGGCGGATGAACTATCATTTGTATAGAGGCCTTGATGATGTAGTCATCTGCTTTCTATTCCCTTTAGGAATAAGAGCAACTTCTTGTCGCTTAAGTAGTTCAATATGTGAGAAATTTATTTCATGACAGAATGAGATTACCTCCATTTGCAAGTCTGCATTCCCCAAGCAAGTTATTTGGATCCTAATCTGAGCCATGAAGCACATTGGATTTGATAGCAAAATAGGTATTATAGCTGTAATTTCCGATATAATTTGTGAAATAATACTCATATAGTCCAGTTATCTAAGTTTGTTTAATAAGAATGTAATTTTCTGCCTTCCATAGAGCCCCTCACTTACCCCTGACAAGAAGTTGTTGTGAAGCCAAGGTGCGCCCTAGGATGACAGACATCACTTTATAGAGCTCATCTTCATGTTTGCAGAATCAACTTTTCTTGCTCACATAATTACATGATTATCTTCTGCTAGTTATTGTTGATCGGCAACTTCAGTTCTCATCTTGAGCCACTGATCTTTAATGATCAATATTGACTGTTGACTTAAGTATCTCATCCCTGGTCTTAAATCATTTGGGAAGTGACATCCAACAGGCTGATGACCCTTGAGTTTTGAGACAATTAACTAATAATTATGTTATAGCTTTTAGAAAGTAGAAATGAACACAATCACATTATGTTTTCGTTTCTGCTCCCGTCTATGATTCATTTGTCTAATTTTGATTAACACGCTTAGTTTACTTTTGTTTTCGATTCCCATATTTAGGTGAGGCGCAACCTCGATCAGGCGAAAACCATTATTGAGGCTCTGATCAAGGTATTTGCTCTTATGATTTGAAGCGTTCAAAATTTCCACTAAGCTTTTATGTTGCACATTGTGGGAGCTTTTGCAATGACGATTACTGTTCTTTCCTTATCATTGTTTTGTGTAGAGGGAAGAGAAAAAACGAGACCTTGTGGAGAGTGAGGTTAGCCTTCAAAGAATTCAGATGAAGTACAAGGTATGCACTTTATTCTGTGCTATTAATATTAGTAATTCTGAATTTGCCTTCTTTTATGTAACCACTTTTACTACAGCCCATAAAAAGCCAAAATGATGCTGGCATTTGCAGACAAGCATAATGTGATGTGATTTCTTCACTTGTCTTGCAAAATAAAACAATAATTCACATAAATCACGGAAATAAAACAAAGAAAGCAACTTCATAGATTCCTCGTTATCCAGATTCGCATCCGCGGAAAGAAAACGTGAATTTTCCCATTAGACTCTTTACCCTGACATTCCAAGTGATTAGTTTTATCATCACAACATGTAATAGTTGATAAATCTGGAGCTACATCTTTTCGCTTCTGGTTTTCTATTCTCCCATTTCTCATAGTTTATAGAGAACTACAAGTGCCTCAAATCTCTCAAATTTGCTCCCCTCACACTTCTGTCCTCCTGGACTTTGTCATGGGTTCCATCTTAGCTCCATGCTCGATTGGAGATCAAATACTCTCTGCTCAATGTATCTTCTCAGACTCATAGTGGTGATTCTCTGGTCCATGCCTGTATGATATTCCTTTTATGACATCATCGTCACCAATAGTGGGTCTCCATTAGGGAGATTTCTTAGTCTCCATTAGGGAGATTTCTTAGTCATCTGCATATTTTCTTAGTTGCTCCTGGTTACAAGAACGATCCAGCTTCTGCTCCCTCTGAGATTACAGTGAACATGCTTTCCCCTATGAAAGCACATTTAGGAATTTCTTTTCATACCATACCAATTTATGATGATGTTGCTTTTTCCTGTCTCATTAAAACAAAACTTCAAATGGTATAATCTGTGGAGTGCTGTTTTGTTGGATGTTCATATTCTCTCGGGCAATGAGCTGCAATAGATACTTTCAAGGATTGATGGTAATTGAATTTCTGTGGATTTTCCAGCATGAAACTGAGCTCCTAGAAGATAGCTTGGCACTTCCTGGACTGCCTTCCTTCCCCAGCAAGCTTGTTTCAAGCGAAGATGAGTTTGTCGATTCTGATGACGTGGCAAATAGCCGCCCAACCCCTCGACCTGCTTTGGCACAAAACCCACCTTTCGCAGAAACAAAGCAGGCGATGGCTTCTTCAGGAAGCATGAGACGAGAGGCCAGACGGCGTCATGTTCCACATAGTTGGCTTCGTAAACTGGTACTTGTCTTGAGCTCATTCTAATTTACCCCTTTCCCTTTTTTATTTTGTCTATATTATGCCCGGAGAAGACATGAAAATACATCTGAAAAGTTGACAATTTTGGCTGGTGCACCTAGAGGATTGGCATATAGTTTGTTGGATGCACATTCCATTTCTGCAATATCCTTTTCACAGACATGTAACACAAGTTTTACGGTTTATGCAGGATCCAAATGAACCAGTCTTGTTGTTCACTAAACCACTAGATCCAGATAAACTAGCAGCTTCAGGCATTATACCTCCATCAGATTTGTCAACCCCAAATGGCACATCTGCACGCTCGTTTCATTACCGTGGAAGGATTGGCCGAGGGGGCCGAATAGTATTTGACCGATGGAATCCTTTAACACAGACTCCAATTGAGTGTGGTGATACGTTATATGTACCACCAAAACCCCAGCATTCAGCGCATCATTAATTTCATTGCCATTTCGCAAGCTTTTTTCAAGAATGAAGCCCTTCAGATTATTCCATAGTCGTTTCTCTTTAAACTAAGGCGTGCTCAAGAAAATTTCCAGTTATGGATGTGACAGAGAAATGAAAGCTACTCACAGGTTTTGCTGAATTTAAGTAAGCCCCATTGTTATTCATCTGCCCTAGCACAATTATTTTTCTCCTGTCAGGGTAAACTCTGGAAAAAGCAGCTTACCGTCTTTGGTTGATGGCTCAAGTTAATCTGGAAGGCCACGTTAGTTGCTTTTACATTGTATCTCTACTGTAAATGGGATGATAAAGGTGGTGTTGCAGGGTAAAAGTATGGAATTTTAGTGAATCGAATGCTGCAACTGATGGTTTCTGTGTAAACGCAGGTCCTCCACTATTTTATTCTTGTTAAATTGTGTACTTTTATTTTCTTTCTTGCCCCCTCTTTCTAATTGTATTCAATGAATCGAAATGGATAACGTAGGTGATTTTAAATTTTGTGAGATTGAAGTTGCCTGTTATGAACTATTCTCTTTCGACTCGGTCAATATTGCATAGAAGAGTCGAACTCACCGGATATAGTGAGAGGAGAGTCGTCGTGGTTTGTTGATTTATTCTGAATTAGTGCCACCTTTCGATATAAAATTTTATTTGCCAAATCACTATAAAAAATAAACAAACAAGACATTCATTTTCAAGTCATCAGGCGAAGGCATTTCCATTTCCTCTCAAGATCAACAACATTATTTGTCATCTATTTTTCCTGTCAGCTTCAAAACCATAACAAAATAGAACCCTCATGAATGTCAATTATTTACAATATAAGGTTCAAACTAAACTTAATCTATGTCAAGAAAGACGAAAAACATAGATGTTTCGTATAAGCTAAATTCATTACACGAACCAAATGCGTTCTGCATCTAGAACGTTACTTGGACCGGGGTTTTGGGTTTTCAAGTGGAAGTTTATTCAGCTCAAAATTGCTCTTTTTATGTGTAGAGCCTTCACCATTGGCCACTGCCATTTTAAGATCGTTTAATGTTCTCTTTGCATAGATTGTGAAAGCAACAGTCGTGATGATAGCAATGATAAAGGAAATGACGTTGTAGATGATTTCGACTAGTGTCAGGTGATGGTTCTCATACTTGACATCTGCTAACGTTCTTATGAGTCGACCACTGCAGACAGAGAGACAAAAGTAAGGCCAGCCAAATCAAGACAAAGAAAAGGAAGTCACTGCTCCAAATATAAGCCATCGGGGGCTCCGGTTCCAATGCCAAAACATAATAAGAACAGGTTTGGCTAAGCTAAAAAAGTTCCCTCATAAGCAAATAAGTAAGTTTGAAAATAGAAAGTTCTTTTAATTGATCAAAATTGAAAGGAAGTAACTAAATCTGAAATTTTGATAGCAAGTAAAGAGTTACTTTAGTTTGAGCATGTTTGGCTTCTCCAGCAATAAAGCTCAGACAAACATGCTCTTAAAAAGTAAGGAAAAAGTAATTTATACATACATATTTAGGACTTAAAAAGGTAACTTCTACTTATTTTTGAACCTAGCCAAGCATGCCTAATAAGATGACTTGCAAGAATCACACTCGACTAGGAAAAAAATGCATTCAGTCATTAACTAAAGATAACTACAGTGAGAGAGAGAGAGAGAGAGAGAGAGAGCGCGAGCGAGCGAGCGAGCGACTTCCACATGTGTCGGGCGGGCAGCAGAGCAGAGATAGAGAGCTGACCTGTAGATGTAAATGAAGGCTTCAGGAATCATTCCGGTAACTGATCCCCACAAATAGGGCCAGAATGTCATACTTGTCACCACTATTGCATAATTAAAAATAGTGTAAGGAAATGGCGAAATCCTAAAAAGTGCAACCACTTTAAACTGATGGAGCCAACTTCCTTCTCCGGCCAATCGAATCATAGCAGCCTTTTGAGGCCATCTTTTTAACCATTGCTACAAAGTGCATTAAGAAACAAAGGTTACAAGTAAAACAACAAACAAAAACATGGCAAACATCAACTATATAGGAAGTCGCAGAATATAAAAAATAGAACAATAGATTATACAATATCATGAACCAAAGTTGCTCGTTTCTTACATGAATTCGATCACGAAAGAGTAAACCAATTGAGTATGGCAGGATCATTCCAATAGTTGTTCCAACCATGATTATGACAAACCCCAGGCCATAACCAAAAACCATCCCCGCTAGCCACATGGAAGGACCAGAAGGAATTAGAAACACGGGGAAAAATGCCAAAGAAGCTACAAGTACGAGTGCAAGCACAGGCCGACCAAATGCAGTTGCTTCCCATTGAAGAATTGGGAAAAGAACCTAACCACAATCATTAAAATAAGAGGTCATATGATTTTAATTTTGTAAATCAAGGTCACAAAATCCTACATGACGATGAATGTCAATGTTATGTAGAGACATGCCTTTTTAGGAACAAACATATTATTGTAATGCCGTCTTGACTTAGGATTTCCTAGCTTTTGTTAACAATTAGTTGTTATCTACTCACGTTTCTTGGTATTATGGCATCTAATTATCATTTAAAAACATCACAGCAAAAATTTTAGATAATCAGAATCCCAATATCATTTGTTACAACCCCCTTCATCGTGCCCCCAACCAACCAGCAACCTTAGATGATCCTGATTAAGAAACTTAGATTCAAGTTCCCATTGCAGACCAATATTTTCACATTATCAAAAAGTAGCTAAAATATGTCCATTTTTGGGAAAGGTTAAGAAGAAGAAATTATGAAGGCAAAAGAGAAGTAACTAAATAGTAAAAACAAGAAATAAAATACCTTCTCTAGAATAAATGGAACCCCCCATTTAAAAAAAATAAGAACAACAATTATAGTGATTGAACACCATGTTATGGCCTTGATCCACCATGTAAGAGAACTTTTTCTTGCTTGTGATTGAGATTCCAGAGTATCGGGTTCAGATATCCTTAGTTCATTTGGTATGACCAATCTCACATACTCGCTGTCTTCCCTCACCTGACCCCCACTGTTAACACGTTTTCCCTCGGACTCCTTAGCTGAATCAGACATCTTGGTCGAGACACCAGATGTCTGTCAAAATGAAACAGGATATATATACATTACTATTAAGCAAGACTGATATACAAGCCATATATAAAATCATTCAGGCAAAATAAGAATATTGATAAGTTCATAAATTATGAAACTGAAGAAGATGCATCATATACTCGGATACAGAAATTTCAAAATGCTTCACACCATATACTTAAATCTCAGCAGAATATGTACTGTGATTGTGCACATTTATGAACACACAAAAACATAATCATTTTGTATTATAAGAACACAATTACTTTGAACACTGATTTTAAGCTACTTTCTCTGGAACGCCAGTTTGCTTACTTTTCATCTGAGCCGGATTTCAGCTAGAAAGAAAAGAATTCATTGGAAACTTCTTTTAGGGGTCATTCTACAGCTACTATGCAAGGGACTTGCACCATGGACATCTTATTAAACACAACCGACTGGATGTATCTGAACTGAAAATGCTGAAAATACGCTAATGAGCTCTTTCTGCCAGCATCATGTATCAACTAGAGCCATATGGAAAAGGTCTAATCACTGTATTGTCTGAAGCTACATGCGAGGAATCAATTTCATCAATTAAATACAAAGAAAGAACGATGAATTTATTGGTTCTCCACATTGTAATCATAGTCTAAATACAGACTATGCAAAACCTAATGACTTTTAGGTCACAACTGACAAATAATATTGGAAAAACTCAGGAGTTAAATATCCAAAAAAGGTCATTATCTAGCAAAAATAAATAACTTAAAAAAAAAAAAAAAAAAAAAAGGAGCCCTAATGAAATCAGCACAGTTCAAAGTTCAAAGTTCTCTGAATTATAAATCAGAACAGACACGTATCTGATCACACATAATCTTGACTAATTTTCAATCAACAATAATTATCCAAACTTGAAACTAAATGGAAACCTTCTCTTTTTTGTTTCTGGGCAATTTAATAGTGATTACCATGTACATAAATGTAAATTCAACAGTAATTGATCTCTTTCTTTCACCAGATGAAACTCTAGAACACCTCAAATAAATCAAGAAATGTAGAACAACGGAGCATTTAAAGAGGAAAAAAAAAATGTAATAGAATTTCTTATAAAATTTCTTCCAACTCCAGGATACCCAAAGAAATTTAAAATCTGCAAATTTGAAGTTCTTTTTGCCCACAAATATTTGGAAATTACCGTTTTCATTTCTTTATCATCTTCTCAAAGCAGAAAAAGTATATACTTACATGTATGTATACACATAATAGACGCACGCTACCCATGTATATAATCAAACAAAAAAGAAAAAGAAAACTGAACTACGAAAATCCGAAAAAGAGTAAAGCTTGACACTTTAAAAAAAAGGATCACTTCCTATGCTTTCGGAAAAGAATAAATCTTTACACTTTAAAAAAAAAAAAAAAATTTAAAATAAATAAATAATGAAACTCAATATCATACGTCGAATAAATTCCACAAAAAATTAAACCTCTATACCTCTAAATCTTCAAAAAACAAAACCCCATAAAAAAAATCTCTGAGTACTTACGCAAGAGAAGATTGAACTGCACTATTTCCCAAATTTGAAGGTGGGTTCTTGTTGGGTTTCTTTATCCTTGTGGGATGAAGTAATCCAACGATCAGGATTTAGGAAGTTAGGAGAAAAGGATGAAAATTATGTGAGGAGTAATTTTCACTCCTTTTCTTTCTTCGTTTCTTTTTTACGTATAGCATTTGAAATCAAACACATAGGTGCTTGAAAGAGTCCGCCTGCTCGCCTTGACTTTTCCTCAACCTCTACGGTTGATTGTGCTTTGTATTGTTCATTACTGGGTAATTATGATTAATCATAAGCAGGTTGTTGGTTACTTAACTTTCTTCACAATAAGTTACTTTTATTTATTGCTCATCAAATTGAGTAGATGTAACAATAAATTGAACATCAACATTCATTAAGGAAATCTAAATTTGCTCGAAGAACTTCTTACAAATTTTATAGGTTGATTTTGTTTGTGCTTTTGAATTTTTTCCGCAAATTTACTTTATATTTATTGGACTTGAACGTTAAATTTAACAGGTATAATTATAAATTGATCAAAAATGTCAAAAATCTTGTAAAATCAAATTTGAATATTAAATTTTTTTTCATTATTGTTTTTGGGATGTGTATTATTATAAACAATATCTTATTCTCTTTCATTGGTCATAATCTTGATTAGGTATCATTAGGTTGGTGTCAAAGAAAATGTAAATAAACAATAATTGGATGATATCAAACTTGATATTGAACTAAAATTGTGACTTACGTAGCCAATTTGCGAGAAAGGTAAATTAAAAGTTAACTCTGACATGTAACTAACTGAACTATTACTTACTCCGTCTCAATTCTCAAAGGACAAAAAGTAATTTGCGAGAAAGGTAAATTAAAAGTTAACTCTGACATGTAACTAACTGAACTATTACTTACTCCGTCTCAATTCTCAAAGGACAAAAAGTAATTTGCGAGAAAGGTAAATTAAAAGTTAACTCTGGTATGTAACAAAATGAAACTAATACTTACTCCATCTCAATTCTTAAAGGACAAAAAGTAATTGAAGTTTACCGTCCCTAATTAAAAAAAGGTAACTCTAATTTGGAAGGCTAACCCACACTTAGCCCTATTTTGCCCTTATTTTCTAAAATTTATTTTTAATCACTCATTTCATAGGATTCAAAACTTTTATTAACTTTTAAATCATATATTTTATCAATTTTAATCAAAATTTGTTAAAAAAATTGATTTTAACTAAATCAAACAAGGGCCTATTTTCATACTAAATTTTTTCCAAGGATGGAATATAGAGTCTCCCCTGTTACCTCATGCATTTGATAGATTTTAATAATATTTTCTCAAAAGTCTTCAATTTTGACTAGTGCTTCATCAAGAACACAATGACCAAATTTTGTTCAAAGCTTTCATATGAGAAAAACACGTCAACGTTCCCATATTTTTGCACGTGTGTGTGTATTTTTTTCCACTTATATCATCTAATAAAAAAACGTGTATCACTCGAGCTATTTTAATGATTATTTGAATAAAAACTATCCTTCAAAATCACGTGTTCGGGGACTAAAAAATTCCATTTAATTCTAGAAAACAAAGATATTACACAAAAACAGATTGGGACCTCCACTGCAATTTTATCAATGATTTAAGAAGCCAGAACTAATCCAACTGCAAGATCTCAACAGAAAAATCATTTGGCCAAGAACCATGCTACAAGTACAGATTTCTCCACTGATGAACACGTCATGGAATTGTACTTGGCCAAACACATAGAGGTATAATTATTGACTCGAAAAGCATCTAATATTAGACAGCTGTACTAAGAATAGAACTTATAAATCCAAGCCGACAATCCAGTTGAGCTCAATCTACAATCATTCCCAAGTACACACGTCTCATCTCAATCTACAAGCTCTCAAAAACAAAATTATCGGTGGCTCTATGTCAAGAAAAGAAGGTTCTACTTATAAAACTAAAATTATGAACCAAACTTCCTGATCAATTAATTTTGACACAATACAACAAAAACTGAATATTATTATGTACAATATTTGAGATGACAGCTGAGAACTTAACCTGGATGAATTTTGAGCCACATCTACCCTCCACAAACAGTTAATCCAGACAATTTCCTGCCAAGCAAAATTGTTGAACAAACTCTGGGCAAAGTAGCAGTTCAAGGCAGACGAAATTGATTATATTGTGAGGCTCAAAGATGGGGAAAAAATGGAAGAATCTAGAATCTCCCATAGCTTCAAAGATTGCTACAATGTGGTTTTGAGGGCTGGAGAAGACCTAACATCATCTGAATCCACTTTCAGCTGAAAATCAGAAGGAAAGCAAAAACAAGAATGATGGTTAGTATCATTATTTGGCAGCCAATTTGGTTGGTTGGAGGGGAAATAGTCGAGAGAAGTAATATACCAGATTGAGATGGTTCACTGGCACGCCGAGCAACAATTTTTTCAGCTTTTCAGAATGTTCAATCCTATGGCCCAATCTGATGGATTCCTCAAGGCACCAGAGTCGTTCAATTGTAGTATAAGGAAACCAAACTGCAAATTGTTCAGATAGATTCCTCAAGGCACCAGAGTCGTTCGATTGTAGTATAAGGAAACCAAACTGCAAATTGTTCAGATGGATTCCTCAAGGCATCAGAGTCATTTGATTGTAGTACAAGGAAACCAAAATGCAAATTGTTCTTTACGACAAATAATATCTGCTGGTCACTGTAGACAATGGTAAAGCTCTTCAGTTTCCAGCCAACGAATTAAGAATACAGAAATCAAATGCAACACATCCATATAATGTTTTGGTAGGGAGGATTGGATTGTGCTCGACAATGCAAAGAAAGAACGAGAAGCTAAAATCTTGTTCATTATAATGTGAAGTGCTCTCCAATACTGTGTACCAAACATAGACTCTTAGCTTTTGACAGTACTACCAGAACTTCTAGGCAAGCTGATGAGAAGAAAGAACTTACTGATGCTAAGGATTCAATGTCGTTTAGTTAATAGCTTCTGCATATCGGCCATAATCAATATATAGGTGAAATAAGGATGCCGGATCTGAGATAGGCATGTTAAGCAATATAATATGGCATTAAAAATCAACTCCCGAAAATTAAGAAACTATGTTTTAACAAAATGAAATTTATTTGATGCTAGTTTTCAAGTAAATTTGAACTCATTGAGGTTTTTCCGAAGCTAGACTAGGAAATAGGAACTACATAATATATATGCATCATAACTAAAAAATTGCTTCTGAGTTAAAGCTGCATAATTACAATCCTTGCAATTGCTGATAGTGAGAGCATACAGTATACTTATGCAACATTTAAATAATTAAATTGTGGGGCCCAAATAGTTATAAAAAAATAATAATAATAATAAAAAAGAAAAAAAAAAAAAAAAAAAAAAAAAAAAAAAAAAAAAAAAAAAAAAAAAAAAAAAAAGAGACACCTATTTAAGCTTAAGCCTTGAATCGTGCCTCACTTGAGGCTATCATAAAATACCTAAAAACCTGCACCTTAAAAGGCTTAAATGGCATTTGTGAGGCTCGCACCTCAAACTTGAGCCTTACGCCAACTTAGATGGGCCGCCCTAGCTCGCCACTGCCTTAAATGGCATTTGTGAGGCTTGCACCTCAAACTTGAGCCTTACGCCAACTTAGATGTTCGATAGTTTGCCTTGAATTATTCAAACATTTAATTATTGGCTTTAGGCCCTTAGCTTTTTTTCAGTTATTTCTTTATAAAATAAAATGTTTTGCAAGTTTTTTTATTTTTTATTTTTTTACCTACATAGAAGGAAAATTGGGAAGATAATACACCATACAATTGAAGACTGGCGACAACGAATTAAAAGACATATATAATGAAGTTGATTGCAATGATGTTAATGATTCCCTAAAACATCATATTAGTAGTGATTTTATAGAAATTTTTTAGCTGTCTCCACTTCACTAATAGATTGTAACATGAAATTTGAGGACTTATAATTCTCATTTGGTCAATTAGTTTTGATAGGAATTTTATATTAAAGGGTTATGGTATATTATGAGCATTTTTTCGTATTTTTATATTCCAAAACATATAGTCGTAACGACTATATTTTTCATTCTTATTTTTACATTAATATGTACCAAACGTTGAATGTTTAAAAGTTTGTTTGCGACTATATAAATTAAAAATTTAAGAACTGTGTTACCGATTTGAATGTAAAAAAAAAAAAAAAAAAAAAAAAACCTACTAAATTAAACTTTGCGATGCACGCACTAAAGGTCATTTGAATGTGGGTTAGTGGGCATTAAATACATGGCCCCTGCCTAGGCTCCACTAAAATGAGGTTTTGGGGAAAATATGTTTTGAAATAGTGGTTTTTCGAGAATGTGTAATTAAAAAATAAAAAACATTTTTGATTTACATATAACATTATCCCGTGAAAGAATATGTGATTAAAAATAAGTTTTTAGAAAAATTGATTCCAAACAGGGGCATACACTATTATGGTAATATGTACACACCGTTATGTACTTTGTAATCTGATTCTTTTTCCATTTAAGGAAAAACTTTAAATTTCGTTAATTATTGTCACGTGGTTTTGTTTATGTCTTTTTTTGAATTTTGTTCATGGCTCGATAGATAATTCGATAAGTCAATGATTTTTCTGTGTTTCAGAATACAGTTAACAAATATGTTAACTAATCGATTACAATAAATTGAATATGATATTTTTGTTTTTTCTTTTGCATTACTTCGACGTGACATGAGCATGAAAAGGGGTCAAGAATCCGTTTTCTTTTTATATGCGTTAAAATAATTTATTTTGGCTTTTTTACCCCATATTGTAGGGTGGATCTTGAAATGAGTAGGTCGTCCTATTTGATGGAATGCTCCAATTCTTTTTTCTTACTTGTGTTGCAGGAAGTCTCTCTCATGCCGTGCTATTGCTCTTGATGCAGCAGTACAAGGTCGGTTCTAAGACTTTTGAGGCCCTAGGTGACTGAATATATATGAGACCCTTAAACTTATTATTATTTTTTAATAAGAGTAGCAATACTTACGAAAAGGGAGAAAATATGTCACATGAGCAAGTCAATTCACTCTCTCTCTCTCTTTCTCTCATCTACACACCAATAAAAAATGAGGAGTATAATTTTTAAAATTAAATCAATCAAACACATTTGATTGATAATTGTCGTGCAAATAAGTTCTTGACAATTGAATTGCCTAGAATTTATTTTCTTTCTATAC